AGCAAGGTAGCTGGACTCAGTTACAGTGGTGATGGGTGCACACTTGGAAGGCCTGAAAGACCAGGCTGGGGACAGATCATTCTACAGAAGCTCTGTCTATATTATGTGGTTGCTAAGAGTCAATACCAACATGATAGCAAATAATCAAGATACCTAAATGTTGAACACTTTAATCCTTGAAATGTGTTTTAACTTTGTGTATATAACATTAATTTAATTTTGTATTACACACATACATAGAAGTCATAGTAAGATGTATCCAGATGAAGGAAAATGGCTGGCAATAGCCACCCAGACTCATTGGGATCAGCAGCATACAAATTAAATAAATAAATAAATTTCTTTCCTGGAATGGAAAGTTGGAAGAGCGTAGCGGCAGGGGAATTGCCCAATGGAAGGACATGGCAGCCTGAGACTGGACTGGATTTTCTTAAGCCAGCAAGAACACAAGACAGGAACAGTTTAAAGGTACAGTGGAGATATGCCCTGAGAGCCTGAATGAACAGATAATATCAGTGTTTGGAGCTTATTTCATTTACTTCATAAATGAAGTCATCATAGAACTCCAGAAAGAACAGCTTGTTTCATGGGAGGGTGCTTTGCCACTCTAGACGCAGGGTGAAGACCCTCTGGGGAATTGAAGAAGCACATCAGCTAGAGAGGTTGGTTTAAACATGGCATTTGATGCATCCAATAGTCCTATTTGGCACTGGAAGCCAAGACCAGGGGGCAATTCATTCATTCATTCATTCATTCATTCATTCATTCATTCATTCATTCATTCATTCATTCATTCCCTTTGAGTCAATATTGACTTGTGGCAACTGCTTAGACAAGTCCCTGCAGTTTTCTTGGCAAAGTTTTTTTCAGAAATGTTTTTCCATTGCCTCCTTCCCGGGGTTGAGAGAGAGTGACTGGTCGAAGGTCATCCAATTGGCTTTGTGCCTAGACAGGACTAGAACTCATCATCTCCTGGTTTCTAGCCTGGTGTCTTAACACCAAACTGGCTCTCTAAATCTTATCCTACCTCTTTCTTATTTCTCCCATGGTTTACCAGCTAGTTTGCCTTTTATCACCAGAAGCACCGCACCTACTACTGTCCTGCACAAGGTTTTCATTCCAACAATACCAATAGAGCCAATAACACAGAGATGCCCCTCATCCTTAGTTTAGCAGTTAGAAGCTGGAGAAGGGAGAGAGGAAACTCTTTTTTTGTCACAATTTTTTAAGTAGCTTGCTCTGCCCTGCTTGGTGGAAGGCAATTGTCACACCCTTTATCTTGCTATCATGATTTTGGTATTTACCCCAGAATCTAGATATGATGGGCTAAAATCTGCAGCTTCTGGGTCAAATCTGGAGATGGGATAACTCTGGCAAAAATGGCTAGCCTCAAGCAATTGACTAAATTGAAATCAAACCACATTTAAATTACTGCAATTTCAGAATCCAACCAGAGCTTCAGGTAGGGAATGTAGCAAGGGATAAGAAAGAATACCATATATGAATGTATGTATTTATGTATACATGCATGCATATACAGACACATAAACACACCATTTTTGCCCTGTGGTTAAGATTAATGTGGAAAGAAGAATAAACATCATGATGATGATGATGATGATGATGATGATGATGATGATGATGATGATGATGATGATGATGATTGGTCACATAGTCAGCCAGATGTTTAGACTGGATTTGGCATTTTTATCCACCTATCGAGTTCTTCACAAGGACCTGGGATGGGCAGATTTTGTTATTTGATGGTGTTAAAGGTATCGTCACAGGATGGAAGCTGTTCTAAGTAAAGCTGCCTTTTGCAATTGGCTGATGGTGATTTTGTCAATGCTGATGGTGTTGTTGTTATTATTTGAAAGATAAAATTCTGGAAACCTGGGTTGTTCAATTTGAGTGATCTTGTAAATGAGTGCTCTCCTATTTCTGTGCTGTTGTTCATTTGGCTAGCCTGGGATTTTATTTTGCCAGCGAGAAATGGCATATTTTCATCCAGACAGCTCATGGAGACAAAAGCTCCTGTACAAATTAGTTTGCTTAACACCACATACTCAACCAGATTATTGATTTAATCTATTTTCCAGATTTGCAGAATACATTGAACCATAAACTAACCAAACCACTTTTGGGATTAACACAACATAGTAAGCTACATCACAGTAAGCCATACTAACCCCCTTCCAAATTAACAAGAGAGAGCAAGTGGTGTGAATGAAGTTGCTAAATGACTTGATTGGGCAGTGTAAACATGCAGTGTAAAGTGAGCCAGTGCACATATTATATCAAAAGCAGAGATACCAACAGCTGAATACGCAGAATGTAGGTTGCCATAGTGCAAAATGCAATGCAAAATTAAAGGTAACCATGGGATAACAATTCACACATTCAACAGGGTTGAGTGATAGACTGGGACATCCATAGAGGGATTTTTTTTTTAAAAAGTAAAGATGATGATCACAATCATGTGATTGAATCCCTGCCCCTTTGTACATGTGTGCAATACTCAGCTACGTACAAAATGGGCAGGGCTTCAGTTCTGTGGTTGCAATGACCACTTCACTGTTTTGACACCCCATTCCATTCCGCAGAGGCTTCCTTGAACTTCACAGAAGTTAGAAGGTAAGTACCTTAAGCGAAGGCTGAGTTTAACTTTCTGAAATGCTATTTTTCACTGACCAAGATTTTCTATTCCTTGGTTGAATAATTCAAACAAGTACACCTACCCCAAATTACACCTGTAATTCAGCCTCAGGAAACGTTTCCACTTTTTTTGAAAAGCCCAGTGGGAGACTTAATTCTCACACAGCCAGTGAAAAGCAATCGGATAGCAAATCTGAAGGTTATAAAACAAAGGATAGAGGGAAACAGACCAGCAAGAGTGGGCCAAGTACTCCATTGTGCAGAGCAGGTAGGAAGACAAAATGCAAGACAGTTCTTTAAACAGGGTGGGTTCTTGAATCACGGTAGTTGCTGAAACCTTGATGATGGCTCCCTACTTTCTTCAATAAAGATTATTTATCTGTAGTCCTTGAGTTTCTTGTGAATATGCCTACGGGATTCATTCCTGCCTACGAGGTGAAACTTGATACCTAGAGATATTGCTATGAAGAATCACTTAGCAACGTTCAATAAAACCTTAAACAGTTTAATCAATGCATTCCCCATCCACCACATCGTTCAGTGGCTATGTTCACAAAACACACTTAACCTGATCACTGAATAAATCCATTCCTGAGATCACACAATACATTTTGCCATTATAGATAAGCAAATAGGATGGGTTTGCACAATATGCTTAACAAAGATGCATCTTCCAAGTTAATGCTAATGAAACCAATATTGTGCGGATGTTCCAAGTAGATTTTTAATGGACTTGATGAAATGCATTTTGTGAACACAGCCTAATTTCCTCTTTAAAAGACCAACATCATCTTTGCAAAATGTACACCTGGAAAAAGAATAATTATCAAACAATAAAAGTAATGCAAAAAGGCAATAAATAAGCTGTTAAGTTGAAATATTCAGTGGTGAATAAATTGATAAAAACACTGAGCTATATATAGCGATGCTTAAAAGTTTATGAATCCTTCTGAATTTTCAATACTGATGCATAAATATGACCTAAAGCACAATCTGTTCTCCACACAAGTCCTAAAACTAGATAAAGAAAACCCAATTAAACAAATGAATCAAAAATATTATAATTGTTCATTTAGTTATTGAAGAAAATGATCCAAAGCTACATACTTGTATGTATCAAAAGTATGTGAATCTTTGCTTTCAGTAACTGGTATGCCCCCAGCAATAACTGAAACTAAATGTTTCTGGTAACTGTCAATCAGTCCTGCAGATGGGCTTGGAGGAATTTTAGCCCATTCCTTGTTACACAACAACTTCAACTCAGGGATGTTGGTGGGCTGCCTCTCATGAAATGCCCGCTTCAGATCCTTCCACACTTCTATAGGATTAAGGTCAGGATTTTGACATGGCCATTCCAAAACATTAACTTTCTTCTGCTTTACCCATTCTTTGATTGTATGACTTGTGTGTTTTGAGGTGTTGTGTTGCTCCATGACCCGCTTTCTCTTGAGCTTCAGTTCATGGACAGATACTCTGACATTTTTCTGTAGAACTTAATGGTACAATTCAGAATTCATACTTCCATCAATGATGGGAAGAAGTCCTGGTCCAGAAGCAGCACAGCCGGCCCAAAGCATGATACCGTCACCACCATGTTTCACAGATGGGATAAAGTTGTTATGCTGAAATACAGTGTTTGCCTTTCACCATACATAACACTTTTCATTCAAGCCAAAAGTTCTATTCTGGTCTTATTGGTCTACAGTACATTCTCCCAATAGCCTTCTGGTATATCCATGTAGTCTTTTGCAAACTGTAGATGGGCAGCAATGTTCTTTTTGGAGAGTAGTAGCTTTCTCCTTGCAATCCTGCCCTTCACACCATTGTTGTTCAGTGTTCTGCTGATGGTGGTCTCATGAACACTGACATTCACCAATGTAAGAGAGGCCTTTAGTTCCCTAGATGTTACCCTGGGTTCTTTGAGACCTCCTGGAGTATTACATACCTTGCTTTTGGTGTGGTCATAGTCAACCACTCTGGGGGGTGGGGTAACAGTGTTGAATTGCGTCCATTTGTATGCAATCTGCCTGATAGTGGACTGGTGGAGTCCAAAATCTTTGGAAATAGTTGTTTAACCTTTTCCAGCCTTGTCAGCATCAAAAACTGTTTTTTGGAGTCCTCAGAAATCTCCTTGGTTTGGACCATGACACACTTCCACATATTTCTGTTGTGAAGATCAGACTTTGATAATGGATACCCAGAATTCTGTTCTTTAAATAAGGCAGGACCTCCCACACTCATACCTGATCATCATTCCATTGATTGAAACACCTGACTCAATAAATGAATGAACAAGTATAATGTTTTTGATTCATTTGTTTAATTCGGTTCTCTTTACCTACTTTTTAGTACCTGTATGGAGAACAGATCATGTTTGAGGTCATATTTATGCAGACATATTAAAAATTCAAAAGGCTTCACAAACTTTTAAACACCACTATACGACATCTACAAAAATATACAACAGGCCATTTCTATTGACAAATGATCTCACAATGTAAAAAAATCTCTATGTAGAAAATGAAACATTATCTAAAGCATAATAGACGAACAGTAGTCATATGTCATCCTCCACTGGTGATCATTTCTGTCCACAGATTTGGTTAGAAGTTTTGAAAATACCAATCTAGAACACCTTAAGCAAGGATTAAAAAGTGATGAGAAAAAGATATATCACTCAGAGAAAGAGACATATCATCAGGCTTTGGACCCAGCGTGGCTGTTAAGCCTTGCCTCTCCCCATTCTGAATTCCTTATTCTTAGCAAAAGATTCACACTCCAATCTACCTGTCAGGTGTTGCTGTAGGGATAAAATGAAAAATACCTCTGTAGAGGTATTTTTCCTCATTTTCCTTGAGCTCCCATAGAAAAGGTGAGAGATAAACACAGGAATAAATAAAACAAGATTTTTTGACAACTTCAACAAACTAAAAAGTAGAAATAAAACATATACCTGAAAATGTGTGCAAGATCTTTTGCTTTGATATCTTTAAGAATATCCTGAATGATGGGAGGATCGCTGGTTTCTGAAGATGTCGGTAAAGATGGGCATCGTGCATGTCCATAGTAGCCTATCAAAATCCCCAAAATAAACAAACTCATAGCAGTGCAAAATAGCTTAAATATCCAGCAAAAGCTGCAGCGATTGGTCTTTGGCATATGCCGTGTATGGTGGAAGACGTAATCTGGATCTTCCTGGAGCCTTTCAAACCTTCCTTTGGGAGATGCTGATGGCTGAATAGACTCCAAGTCAGTGTTTTGAGTACTCTCAGTTGGTTGATGGACTGCCCCATCCAAATTAAAATGGTCAAAGCCCAGCTCCTCCAATTCTTTCTCCATGTCCCATTCTAACTCCAGGGAAGTGGCTTGAAGGTCTTCATGATCTAAACACTGTGCATTCTGGTCTGCATGGACTTTTTGATAAGCCATTCTTTTACCTGGTATAAAAAGAACATTATATACCGTTATATATATATATATATATTTATGATGAGAGCTTGAAGAAGCTGGGCATATTCAGGCTTGAAAAGAAAAGACCAAGGAAGATGAGAGCTTGAAGAAGCTGGGCATATTCAGGCTTGAAAAGAAAAGACCAAGGAAGATGAGAGCTTGAAGAAGCTGGGCATATTCAGGCTTGAAAAGAAAAGACCAAGGAAGATGAGAGCTTGAAGAAGCTGGGCATATTCAGGCTTGAAAAGAAAAGACCAAGGAAGGGTAGGATAACCATGTTCAAATGCCTGAAAAAATGGGAGAAAGGTCAAGATTGGATATAGAATAAGAAATTTACATTACAGGAAGGAGATTCTGGCTGAGGTTAGGAAAAAAACCTTCTTAATTAAAAGAGCAGTTTGTTTGTTTGTCTATTTATTTATCAGGTTTATACAGCTGTCCATCTCACAAACATGACTCTGGATATCATACAATAAAACAATCAGTTAAAACAACAATTAAAAACAAACACAAATATATTATT